TTCCTTGTGCAGCCTTGTGCTCCCTAGTGCTCCCTTCCCACGCAAATTAAATCAATTCTAAACTCCTTTTGCCTATTGAGGTCGAAACCCCATGCGTATTTTACCCCGGATTACCCGGAACTTACGCCACTATGTTTGTCAACCATCACCTGGGCCCGCTTTCTTGACTGCAGACAAAGCGAAACATGTCTGTGGAAGAAAACCCAGCTCGTCAGTCTGAATCCCTTTCGGTTTTCTTCGCTCACAGTCCTGCAGAAAGTCGAATCGCGGTTTCGTGCACCCGCTGCACCTACGAATTCGTTTTCAAACCATTACCCGGCCTCTTACATTCCCATTCCACGCCCCAGAACATCATTCCATCCGACACTGAAGCCATTCAGTTATTCATTTCCGAAGCTGAAAAAGAAGTGGCGCGTTGCAAGGATGAGATTTCGCGGCTAAAGGCCATCATAGCGAAAATCGAGAAACACCAGGTCATTCTCAACCAGGGTCACCAATCTACCATCTCCTCGATTCAACCTCAGACCGAGATCGCTGCTGCCGAAGCAAAAGAGAATGCATCAGGTCAGTTTAATTCTCTCCGCTGTTTCTTAGCTCACGGTCTTGGTCAACAGATAATCGAATAACGGTTTCCTGCAGCAGCTGCATCTATGAATTCATTCTACCATCGCTCAACCTCTTGAATTCCGATGGCTTGCATCAGAATGGCGCTGAAACCTTTCATTCGTCCATTTCTGAAGCTCAGGCTGAAGAAGAGGTGATGCGTCTTTGGGGAATCATAGAGCTTGTCAAGAAGCACCAGAGCAAGCTCAGCCATGAAATCTCCATTCACCAATTATTCGTCTCCCCGATTCGCCGCCTTCCACCCGAGCTTTTAGCTCTCATTTTTTCCCTCTTCTGCACCGTCGATTTTTGGGACTGCGAGCCTTTCGTATCAAAGAGCTATCGCATCAGGGGTTCCATATTCCGAGAGCCTTTCATCATTGCGACGGTGTGCAGCCATTGGCGTAGCATTGCCCTCTCGACGCCGTCGCTCTGGTCGACCATTATGCTAGGAAACATGAACATGTCGAGAGAGGATTGTGAAGCTGACAACCCTGACGCCAAACTTGACGAATCGTGTACCTTCCCAGAAGACATCTTTGAAGTCGCCCTTGAGCGCTCAGCTCAGCATCCACTGAAACTTTGGATAGAGCGCCGCGATGGTTTTTATTGGCCATCGATTCTTACGACCAAGCTGCGTCAAGTATGCTTCCGAGTCCAGCAGATATATCTGAGTGGCAGTTTAGATCCATTTTATCTCCCGAATTCTCCAAGCCTCGCATTTGATCGACTCTCTGCCATCCATCTGGCTTCCGATGACAGATCCATGGATCGACTGCCATGGTTATTGACTGCGGCCAATGTCCGAGTCCTGGTCATTCAAAATGTAGAGGACGCGGAACCAGAATTCTGGACAGATCTCCCAGTCCAGAGCACCCGATTCCTGCTATTCCAAACGAGTGACTATATGCGCGATTCGGAAGCAATGGAGATCTTGACCAGATTCCCCAACATTACATCCTCGGGCTTCAGCTACGAATTCTCCGATTATGTTGTTCTCCCCTTCGCGTGGGAAGCGGCACAGACTCTTCATCATCTCAACATCACATTGAAATGCTACGCGAGGGATTGTGTCCATACCAGCAGCAATCCCGACGACCTTGAGGCATGTCACTGCTTTGAGAATCTTCTATCGGGTATCACCACACCTGGTTTGAAAAGCTTGCGGCTTGAAGCCGATTGGAGTTACCCTGGAGCCTGTTGGTCGCAGGCACACTTCTCTGGATTCCTTGATCGCTCAACCATCAGAGAAAGTCTGACCTCTCTTTATCTTCATAACATAGATGGTCTGGACGACGACGAACTCGAGCACTTGTTTCAGTCAGTCCCATTCTTGACGCGCTTAACCGTCTCAGCATTCCGCGATGGGCCCATCATTCGCGCTCCAATATTGGAGCAGATTGGTACCGCTTCGCTGCTTCCTCGTCTCAAATTCTTCGATGTCCTGATCGATGATACAGAGGACGCCGTCGATGCAGTCGTGAATTTGGTCAGACTGAGATCTGGACCAACAGGGTTGGAAGAGATTGTGGTGCGCCTAGAGGGACTTCCTGAAATGAGAGAGAAGCTCGAGGAAGGAGTGAAGCTGAACTTTGCGGGTGTACGTTACACCATCGCCGACCCTCGCAGCGCTCGCTCATATTCCCAGTATTTGTCGTTCAATGACTGGGTGAATGAGATTCAAAGGGCTTGACTGTCTACTGGTCTGCTTGATACAATCTTGGACTTTTCATTCGTATGTAATACTTCTTTTCGGCGACGATATTATTGTGAAATGCTTCGATATTGTAGAATTATGGATTTATACCTTGCGACGATCAATGACACCAAGCAAAATGCTTGCTGGTTCCCTGATAGCTCTCCCGGATCTCACCCAATATCGACCATCTACGCGTCAATTCAGTCAGATATCTCTGGAATCACGTCACCTGTGTTTCGTGTTTGTCGACCAGGGCATGGTCCAAGTCCTTGAGATACTTGCTGGTTGCTGGAGGACTGCCGATTAGGACCAATTGAATTCCAATTTTGCAGAGGAGAAATTTGCCGTTTTTGAGTCGTGCGGCCGCCTTCACAATCCGAGGATCCAACGGTTTATCAACTATCGTCCGAGTCAGCTTTGGCATCAGACGGTTTAGAGGACTCACAAGAGTATCCAGCAGTGATAAAGGTAGACATCTACCGCCGTCTATAACAAATCAGCAACCCGAACAAGCCCAGGAGATAACGTATACCTTGAAATCCGAAAGTTGCTCGCTTGAATCGAAGAAGTGGATATCGAGACGGTAATCCCTGATATGTGGCTAACGAAGTGAGCGACGGCCACCGCTGCTTCCTTCCAATAGCTCCTGTTCCGCTGAACAGAGTCGAGTCATTCATCCATTGAGAATCATCGACGATTAACATGGTTTCGTAGTCGGCTAGCACTGCCATTAATCCATCGGTCAACCCTTTCGGCCATTGCGGTATTTCTGAACTGCGAAAAGGCCAGCACCTCGATTTTGCGTGAACGAAGGAAAGAAGTCCGCTTACACCGAGGGGAATCGGAAAACAGAGATCATGGCGCATTGTTGTCCGAGGACCATGACCGAGGAAAGTCCAGGTCGGCTCATGGTCTGGCGGTGTCGAGCGGCTGAAATCATAGGGAAGAAGGGGAACTGCGCCGAAGAAAGAAACAATCCGCTTGGAGAGTCGCGGGCTACAATTTCACAGAAGAATAGGAACATCGAGATTTCCCGAACAATGGGGATCATTCCGTCTTGTTTTCGGAGCGGGGCCTTCCGTCTGCGAATTTAGTCTGGAAGACGATCGATAAAAGCTGGTTGACTCACCGGAGATTTTGTCTGGCATTCTCTTCAACCTTTGTCTTGTCGAGCAGCGGCGGAGACTGTGGTTTGGTACAGATTTGCTCTCATGCACGACTGGGCATAGTATTCTTCCAGGAGCTGCTAGGCGACGCGTGCAAAAAGGTCTGCAGGATGTGAGCGATGTACGAGACAGAGTAATCATACCGAGGGAGATGCTTTGAATACGGCAGACACGATATTCAGGGACCATTCCACGGATACAAGGATATATATATAGGGAAAACAGAATCCTATGGGATGGTCGTGAGCTCATTTTTGCATGCATGAAAAGAAAGTCGCGCACCATAGGCTTGCAGCCTCTTTCCTTCCACAAACCGCAACCTCTCGGCCGTTTCTCCCATAAAGTCCAAGGATGCTGGGCAAAAACAGCGCAGCGTCTGGTTCCGTCAATTGAATCGTCACGGTGAAAAACGTGAAGAACAAGGCAAAATGTGGGCACCGGGAATTCTTTTTGGAGCGAGATTACAGGTAGAAACGACCTTGACTGCGCTGTGTCTTCATGCTTGACTGTAGACGATTTGAGGATGTCGCGAGCACGATGGTCATTGTGGAAGGCAAAGCCTAATTTGGAAATGACCGCCTCATCATTCGAACCACGACATCAATATACGCCTTGCTCTCGTGGATGCCTCGCATGGTGATTTTCCTGCACGAAACATGATGAAATAACTGCGTCAGGTAATGGCTTTTGTTTCCTGTTTCGTCGAGGCTGACTCGTCAGACCAGCCTTGCAGAGGTTATTCTTCTGACGATTTTGAATTAGAATATCCAAGGTCGACGACTTCCAGAGCGTTGAATGGACCTGTTCTACCTATCAAGCTCCGTTTTCCGCTGCATGGGACCCTGGTTTCCTTTGTTCTTATTCATCACCTGTCCGCTGAGCTCAGGACCTCCACTTTCCATCTCCATCTCCTTCTCGCTCGAATGGCTCCAACTTGTACCGCCGCGATCACGTCCCTCGCCATCCATCTCGTTGGTTCGGGAACCCTCCATTATTGCGACAGTATGTCCATTGGTATCGCTGTCGCTATGGTCAACCTGAAAAATATAGAAAGTTCGAGAGAGGCAGATGAAGATTTTGGAGGAGACCCAGATGAATCACGAACTTTTCCCGAGGAGGTCCTCGAGGTCACTCTCCGGCGGACAGCTCAGACGGCGACCGACTGGAGGGAGAGCATCATTGATCGCGTTTGACTCGGACGCGCAGTTCAAGGGCCTTCTGGCATCTCAATCCCATTTGGCTGCAGAGTTTCGAGATCTGGGCTCGATTCTTCATGTCCCGCCTCGACGACAGACTCCTCAAAACATCGTTAAAGATCACAGTAGATAGATCAAAATCGTTGCTGCGAAGATAAGTAAACACTACGTATATAATACTCAGATGGATTCTGATTTCATTCCACACAAAGTCAGTCTCAACATAATGGCAAAAGCGGGAGTTTGGGTTTCTTGGGCGATATGGAGCGTTGGGATGATTGAATGGCCAAAAACGACGAGAAATTCAAGTCTTGAGTCCAAATACGATGAAAAAGCTGATTCGACCCAGGTTCGAACTGAGGACCTTCTGTGTAGACCATACAAACAGTTATAAAATGTTAGACAGATGCGATAACCAACTACGCCATCGAACCAATAAACCCCTTGGAGAAGATTGCTTAGATGTAGAATAGAGTTTCCGAGGGCCTCAATGAATCAAAATGTGACAAGGATCAATCAAGGTTTCATTCAGGACTGAGGAAAGTTCACGCTAGTGGACGAGAGGGTGTCCAATTTCCCAATGGACACAACTCATTTTCATGAGATTCGGTACCTTGAGAGCAAGCATGGTTTTAACGGCACTCCAACATTCATTTCTCTTTCTTGGGACCATGTTTTTATTCTACGATATTCATTCACTATGTACATTGTTCGCTGGATCTCTGCACGACCCAATCCAATGTGGCGCACATGCCAAGTTTGTAAGATCCCACCGAGCGTATCAGCTGAAAAAATTCGTGCGCGGGTCTGCGCAGCGTGCTGTGCTTCAACCTATCCAACTTTCTTACACTACACTCGGAGTTTCACTCAGTTTCCCCGTCCCTATCTTCTGACTAACCGACAAAATCCGTGCTAAGACAAAGTACAAGTTCAACCTGACTCGTTAGGGAGGAAGCAGGAAGCTCTGAAATGGGAATTGAGACAGAAAGCACATGAGCAGGTTTCACGAATAGGTTTGCTTCAGATCCGTATCTGAAGCTACATATCTTGACCGTAGTGTTGCCGCGAGGTGCTCCGAGTCGAGTTGAACTCGCTCAGATCTACTTTGTGTGTGTCTCTTTCAGATTTCTTTCTGTCTTGCATGCCTCTACTTATGTAATTGTATTATTATCGATGAATGCTTGCCACCCTTGCCTGAAGTGCTCAAGTCAGGGAGATGTCCGAGGTTAGCGCACTTTAGTCGCATTGTCAGATTCCTTTTATGGAAATCCTCAATATTGATAAGTAGTCTTATTGTCTTACTTTAGTCGTATTCAGCAAGCCCATTGTCCCGACAGATCCCGACAGCTGTCACGCTGTGCGTGATCTGAGTGCGCGAATCCCGCCTTTCATCATTGTCGGACCGACCGGGGGAGTCGGGGCCTATCGTATCTAGCAAACACACTAAGTCAGTCACTTAAACCTCACGTTGTCCAAGGATAGTCCTGTTTTGTAAAAGTGACCGAGTAAGTGGAGTGGCGCACTTGTGGCGCATCAATGTCCGTGTATCCTTTGAGCACCACAGTAAGCCATTTTTCTCTTCTTTCCCATTGTCAACAAGATATAAATATTATTCAGAGTCTTGAATTTGAGTTTCTCCAACTTATCTTTTCTATGATTCACAGTTTGTGACCAGATGCCAAAGCTTAAAGATCTTCAGCTGATTTTGCCACATAAGTCAACGGGCTCCGGCTGCATATCTATCTCGCTTTGGCCGGGTGCATCACATTATGTGTGACAGCGTCGAGTACGATACAATCCGACTACCACAATCAAATGCGACTATCGCAAAAATTGATTACCATATTTGAAATGTGCAACAAGACTAATGTACCCTAGGTTCGAGATGTCCCGTGTGAGGCCGATGACTCGAGATCCATCTAGAATCAAGCACTCAAAGCCGTCTAAACTCGAGGAGTCGAGACCTGTCTGACCTACGGTTAATCTTTGGACTCAGTTCAAACGAAGAGTCTTTGGGCTCGGCAGAAACTGCACTCCAACCTTCATCCATGGTAAAAAGTCGGGTACAGTTGAAGAACAGTCACTTGAAGAGTAAAACAGTAATGCAACACCGATTTGAACTGAGGACCTTCTGTGTATAGCACATAATCTTTTACATGTTAGACAAATGCCAAAACCAACTACACCATCGAAGAACATCAGAGCTATGGATCATGTTGATTGCGTCTCATGCCTCGACAATCAGCGAACATGTACTGGTATTGCAAAGTGCCACACAGATTCCATTCTACAGCGAACAAAAAAACCTATGAAGACTTTGTATCCTCTTCTTGCACCTCAACAGGGCGTGGTAGAACGACGGCCTGCCAGATGGCCGGTATAACCCAAGTCAAACCCAATACAAGGTACGAAACCGACAATCCCTCACTCAAGTGGAGTGCACCGAACAATATGGGGAAGAAGCTCAAAAAGGTCAACAAATAGCGGACAGCTTGCATCCAAATCACCGTCTTGTACGTCCCAGCAAAGACACGGGTCCGGTGATTCAAAACCATTTGCGATATCTGTCCTGTTCTTTGTAGAGCAGCTGCGAATAGTTTGATATTGCCGCTGTACCAAATAGTCGTGTCGGGAGGTGTAGGGAATGGGCTGATGATGAACCAATCGGCGGAGACAAAGTAGATCACAGAAAATGCTACTAAAGTCTATGGAAGATGTATCAGTTCATCTACTATCGAGTGCCCCAGAGCGACTTACCGCCATCCGAAGAAGTGGCGTGGTTTTCGAGTCCAGCCTCTCGCTTGAGCGCTCTGAATGATTAGGTCTGGCTCTGCGAAGCCAAGGAATCCACCCATGCCATATGAATTCGACTCGCAGGATGCTAATGAGCATCAAGAAAGGCAAAGGCAGCTCCCAAAGCAACGATGTCGCAATTTTCACATTGTCTGTTGCGGTGGTCTCGAGAATGGTTGCAAACATACTGACAATGCAACCTATAGCCAGTAGAGCCATTCCTGGAACACTGATGAACACAGTGGATGTGCATCTATGCCAGTAGAGTATCTCCAGCATCCATATCAGGAAAGAAAGCACTGGACTATTTGAAATGAGTTCATTTCAAGTCAACGAACTGAGGAAACCTTACAAGATAAACCAGAAGATCCAAAACCTTCGTCTGGGATGGACGTCCTCGCCATGTCTATGGCCGAAAACTCCGTCTGCGAGATCTTAGATACAACATACTATATAGGAGCGGAAAAAACGACTCACTCAGCGCCTCAATGTCAGCCTGTAGAACCGCTTTGTCGTAGTCGCTCATAGAGTCATTGGTAAGCGTTTCCAAAGGTTTCGGCGCGACTTTTGTCTGGTAAAGTTCTCCCAGTAACATTTTGCTTGGGGAACGACCGGCGTACGATACGTGCCATGTCACATTCAGAAACTCGGGGTCTGGATCGCTGTCTTTACAGAGTTGGAAAACACAAGTCGAAGAAACAAGATTCACTTACTTGGTGAGGACTCATTGAGGCACTTTTCTGGAGCAATAGGGAGGCGGAGAAGATCCTGTAGGAATTGAGATGAGATGGTAAAAGCAGGGCGCACAAACAGACCTTGGGTCCGATATTGTCGCCAAAATGACTCATATAAGGCGGATAGGCGTATTCCGTCTGTAAGCCAGTTTCCGAGGTCTCACTGGGGACAGCAAGTTCGAGAAGGGAGTCCAGATGTCCATGAGTCCGATATCGACGCTGACATCTGTAGACGTCGAGGCACTGTGGAGAAATAAGACTACGAACAATGAAGACAGAGAAACACTTACCTTCTGACCACGAAGGGCCTTCTTGGCCTTGTCAAAAGCCTCCTTATTGAAAATTTGCGCCTCTTCTGCAACACGTAGCTGTGTTCTTCACCCTGATATCAGTCCTATGGCTGGTTGGAAAAGAGCGTCAACTCACCGAGTCACAATAAATGGTTGGTTCTTTATTACCTTTCCTGAACCATCGAAGATCACAAAATGATTTCCAGCGGACCAGTCCTGTTTCTTATCGACAACTTCTCCCTCCGGGCACTGACTCAAAACTTGCTTTGTTTTGACCAAGGGTACCGAAATGGCGAAGGTTTCCAGGCCGAGTTCAGCCTCTGTACGATTCGTTGTGTTTGTGGAGCCCAGAGGGAACCTAATGGAGTATGAGTGCGTCATTGACATCGAGGATGGTGACCTACGGAAAAGACCAGAATCGAGTTCTATCGTACGAGTGAAAAGCAGAAGCGTCTGGGATAGATGAATTTTGAAAGTGATCCATCAAGGAAGGTCTTGAGGGTATAAGGACAAATGAAGCTCGAACATCAGTTGGGAGCACATATTGTCCGCGACTACACAAAGGTGAATATTGACGATTGCAGAAGAAAATGAGTACCTACAACGCATCGAGGGATAGCTGGAACTGGATTTTAGCTTGGACCCCCTTGTCCTTGAGCCGAAGCCCACGAAAGACGATATCAGAGTAGATCACCTGCTCAGTTTCGTCCAGACGATGATACGTATACAGCCAATCTTCATCCAGCTCCGTTACCCAGTGACCTTCTTCATAGGGCTTGAACTTCATCGGCCACCGGGTGACGTTTCCTTCACGGCGTTTCTGCCAAATGCTAACCGCAATGTCGAAGGTTTGATCATAAGTTCATAACCTATGAGCGGTTGGACGACGAGTGAGCGGTTCTGAACCATATCGAGGGTTTCGTTCTGGTACAGAGCGACGTGAGGAAATGAGGACCTATATGCGCGCCGGCCCAGAGCGAAAAGTGTCGGAGGAAGCGCAATAAGAGCAACCAAGACGATGGCGCTTAACAGAAGTTTGAATCCTGCACCTCTTTTTCGACCAGATTTGGGGTCAACATATAGAGGTCCATCGACTCCTTCTGAGTCGTCGAAGGGGATTTTATCCATTTCTCGTCTTGAGAAGTCGACTGGTGAAAGGAAAGTAAGAGTCAGACAGTGCCGCGATCAGAACTTTAATCACCTTCAAAGTTCACGCTTGTCGACGAGAAATCATATAGATCCCGTGCTCCGTCCCCACCGGCTAGGCTTGAATATCGAGCATATGGTCATTCACGTTGGCATTCTTCATGTAGGTGGGTCTGCTATCGCTTCGTCAGTAGAATCAGTGATTGGACAGGTGGCTTACCTCCATCTTTCCTCAAAAGCACTCCGACCGTGCTGTGCTTCAAATAGGATTGACCGATTCGGTGACCAGAAGCTATTGAATATTGCTGGCAGTGGATGGACGCTCCCCAGCGAAGCCTTAGACATCCTGGATGCTTGCAGCAAAACTGGCAGCATCGTTGCGGTACTGGGCTTGATTTTAGCTCTGTTTGGGCGACGCTTTTACAGCAGCCATCATCGAGAGCACGGAAGAATAACCAGCGAACGTACTTGTGTAGTAGCAGTGGAAAAGTGGCTGCGACACGCAAAATTTGACGCAAAATTTGACAAGTTTTGAGCCTATCTGAGTTATATGGTTGCTTCAGACTTCTCACTGAGGGCCTGGATAGCGCTGGTAATACAGAAACCACCAACCGGCGTGGTCGTCGTTGAGGACGGGCTAAGCCGCTAAAATGCAACTAAAATGCGACATTTGTGACAATGTGACCCGAGCTAAGCTCTTCCTCAACGTTTACCACGAGTCCACGACCACCGCCCTGGTTCTATCTCTCATGAAGGACCCACCTCGAATCCGTTTCTGTCCTGTGAAGCAGATCTCGATGTGACAGCAAGCGTCAATTACCTCACAATTTCCGTCCTCGAGGGGGATCCTGGGTCAACTGGCCTTGCAGAAAGCAGAATCCCACTCAAGTGCCACAAGGGCAGGTTTTGCTAGCCTGGAAGGCTCAATTTTCCGTAATGAAGCAGTATGTTCTCTGTCTACTGGCTTTAACCCGATGAATGACCACGAAAGGGCTCGAGCCCACAGGTCAGACTTTGTAAGTCATTTGGTTCGTGCTGTTTTGATTGGTGTTTCTCTGGTCGAGAGGTATCGGTGGACCAGGCTTTAGCGCTGGCATTCGTGGACGAGGCTCAGGACGAGACCAGGTTTATCCACGACACGAGGTCCCGGTTTGTCGCGGAGACTTTTGGTTTTCTGGGCGAGACGAGCTCGTGTCGTTGACGAGGTCATTAGAGTTTTGGCTGGACAAGTCATTTTCGTGTCGGTCGCTCAGACGAGGGGAGAAACCATGTCGAGATATCTATTTCCCTTCTTCCTCTCTTTCCTTAACCCTCTTCCCTGTCTCTCCCTTCCTTTTCCTCTTGCTCTCTCTCTCTCCTATCTGGTCTTGCTCTCCTCACCTTAGTTTATCATCGTCGCTCCCTTTGAACTCGCTAACGCTCCTTCCCTAGGTCGAACATCCGCCATCCCTAAAGCGTCCCGCAAACGGGACTGGTTACGGCCATTGAGGTTGCTGGGGATGTTGAAATATATGTGAGCCTTTTCTTTTTCTGGGTTTCCTTTTCTTCTACGTTTTCGTTGGAATTCGGACGAAGCAGGTTTTGTTTTCGTGGCGTACAAAGAGCTTCTGCCAATGTCCGACTGCCAATCTACAAATGCTTCTCGCACTAATCTTGTGCTTTCCTTGAGAATTTTTCATCGCTTTTCCTACCAAGTATCTCGTTTATCCACCTTCTCGCCTATCCTCATTGGTCGGAACCAAGCTGATGCCCAAACAGCCTTTCGCAATCGGCAGGGAGCACGTTGGGGCTTGAGTATATACGAGTTGGTGAGCGTCTTTTTCTTTTTCTTATTCCTTCCATTCCTTTTGCTTCATCGATCGGGGTCGCAGCGCTTTCCTTTCCTTGCCAGTGTCGTCTTTTCGGCGTCGCTCGACATCTTGCTGTCCTTCGATTCCTAGCTTCAGCTCGCCAATGCCCCCCCAAATCTTGCAACGAATTCCATATCATTATAATTGACATTCCATACCATTTCACGATAGAAACCTTCAGTTTTGAATTCTTATCCCATTCGTTTCTCTTGAGCTGGAACCCTTGCCCTTCATTTCCACTCCAGTCCTTGGCCTTTCAGTTCTTCCCACCTGCCTAATGAATATGACTCAGCTCCCTCCCACAGAATACGTCGCCCCACCTCGCTCGCGAGGATGAGGATCCATTAGGTTTCGTTTTGTTCAGGAGTAGATTGGATCCTAG